AAGGAAAAGATAGACACATCTCGAGTGTTTTTTCCATTGAATTAAACTTTACACCCTTTATGGATCAAGCAATTAGAAGGTTATGATTGTCTAACAAGACTTCAATTAAATTAAAATGATTTTTTTGAGAGAGATGCGAGAGGGAATTCGAAGGGGTACGGATCCTACCAAAAGGGGTGGATTCAAGTGTGCTCCTTTTTGGACGGGACTGTATACTTCTTTTCTCAATTTTGAGTAGTTTTTGAAAATTTTTGTAATAACTAGACCGCACATCCTCTTCCTCTTCCCTGCGTCTGTCACGGATATGTACATATATATATTATATTTATTTGTTATGTGTAGTCCATATTTCTTTTGCTACCAGATCTTGAGATGGTCACTAGCGATTCTTCGCTGGTGATTGATTCATCTTCACCATTTGGACGGGTTGGCTCGTCTCCCCAGGTGCCGGCGTCTTCCTTACGCTCTCATGCTTTGCTTTCACTCTCACGGTTTAAGAGCAGGCTTGGTAAGAAAAACTACTTCAAGGAATATGGATTGATTTGTTCCTTGTCACTCTTAAGGTACGGAAATGAATGAAATTATCCCAAATCTTTATTTGGGAAGTCTCCGAGATGCTGTCGATGTACATCAACTGAAGAAGCATCACATACAAGTGGGCAGTCTCGAGCTATATTACTTGGCTGGTGGTATTTATTAGATGGATTGAGAGTTGTCCTTTTAGTATGTCGTGTCAGTGCATGATTTGACGGCTCATCACCCGGCACATGAACACCTCAAGGTTGATCTTCTTCAGCCATTTTCAATCCCTTTTTTATCATCTTGAAGTGCTTTTTTTAGGTCCTCAAAATTCAGCTATCAGACTGTTCTTCAGCGAACATATCTTCACATTTTAGCGTCACTAACCAGTTTATACATGAAGCCCGTTTAAGACAAGGTTTTTCTTCAAGAGTTTGAAGTAAATTCTGTCTGAAACGACGTTTTGTTTCAGCTTCTGTGCTCGTACATTGTCTAGCTGGTGTTTCACGAAGTGCCACCGTGGTCGCAGCTTACCTGATGACATTGTGCGATATGACATTCTTTAATGCGATCACGTTTATGTCAAGAAAGCGGCCAGTTGTCAATCCAAACTTCGGTTTCCGAATGCAACTCTGCACCTATGCCGATCGAGTTAGTACCCTTTCTCTTCAATTCTTTTGACTTTGGGTATTCTGTCGCTTTATTTATTGAAGTAACTGTTATGATATAATTTAGTCTTCATTAGAAC